CATTGAGCTCTGTGGTTGCCCACCTTATTTCTCTGAGAGAATTTCTGGGGCACACTGAAGGAAGAGGAAACCAGGAGGAATCAGCAGATTCTGTGTTAAGAAGGACCTGCGTTTCTGTGGTCCTCGAATCTAAGAAGCCCTGCGTCTTTTTCTTGTAGAATGGTTTTAGAAACTGTGGTCTGGGCGCTAGGTGTGTTTATTGCTACTGGGGTGTCATTGCTCTAGGCTCTGTCGCTAACAGAATGAGGGAATATGTGATATACTAACCTTCACATATACAGGGATCTATAAATCTTTCAGTCTGTAAAAATCTGTGTCTCTATTGAGCCTAACATGAATTCATACTGATGTTTCCAACGTTAATCCTTTACCCCACGGAGCATCCTGGCCTATTCCCTTTGTTCATCTGTATACTCCCACTCCAACAGTGAGAAACTTGGTTACCACCATCCACCATCCATTGACTTGGTTCTTCAATACCAGTAGCCATGTATACAGCAGTATCAAATTGTTAACCCATATCCCGTGGGAAACAACTCTATCAACTAGGATATAATGCTTAACTGCAGTTCTTTTTGCCATTAATCTTACAGATTCCACTAATTTCCAAAGTTACTCAGGTCAGCCCCTTTTCCTCCCATCACTTTCAGTGAAGTCATTTCATACATTTGTTACATTTTTTTCTTGCAGTCTACATTTCATCCTGGGATTCCCCAACATCCTAAATAATTTTTTAAAATTTGCATAAATTAAGATTCATTCTTATGCTGTAAAGTTCTATGGTTTTGATAAATCCATAATATCATGTATCTATCATTTCGGTATTATACAGAAAAATTTCACACCCTAAAATATCTCTTTTGCTTCACCTATTCAAACCTCTCATCTTCCCCCTGCACCTTTGACAATTACTGTTTTTTTACTCTCTCTGTAGTTTTGCTTTTTCCAAAATGTCATGCATTTGAAACCGTTTAGTATGTATCATTTTCAGACTGGCTTCTTTCACTTAGCAATATGCACCTAATATCCATCCATGTTTTTTGTGGCTTGATAGCTCATTTCCTTTTATTGCTGAATAATATTCCATTTTATGAATGTACCACAGTTGGTTTATCCATTCACCCACTGAAGGACATTATGGTTGCTTCCAATTTTGGCTGTTATCAATGAACTGTTATAAACATTCACGAGCAGGTTTTTATTTGGATTTAAGTTTTCAAATCAGTTGGGTAAATACCTAGGAATGTGACTGCCTGATCATATGGTAAGACTATGTTTAGCTTTGTAAGAAACTTCCAGACTTCAAAAGATAGTGTACCATTTTTGCATTCCCACAAGCAATGAATGAGTGTACTTGTTGCTCCACATCTTCAACAGCATTTAGTATTGTCCGTTTTTTTGGACTTTAGCTCTTCCAATAGGTATGTAGTAGTATCTAATTGTTGCTTTAATTTGCAATTCCCTAATGACATATGATGTTGAGCATCTTTTAATATGTCTATTTGCCATTTTTTTATCTTCTTTGGAGAGGTGTCTTTCAGATCTTTTTGCCCATTTTAAATTGTGTTTCTTTTCTTATTATTGAGTTTTAAGAGTTTCTCTGTGTATCTTGGATTGAACTTCTTTACTGGATAAATGTTTTGCAGATATTTTCTCCTAGTCTGTAGCTTGTCTTTTTATTCTCGTAACTGTTTTTCACAGAACAGTGGTTTTTAAATTTAGTAAAATTATACTTACTAATTTTTTTCTTTCATAGATCGTGATATTGGTGTTGCACCTAAGAACTCATTGCCAAACCCAAAGTCTTTTAAATTTTCTCCTATATTTTTTCTATAAGTTTGATAATTTTGTGTTTTATGTTTAGATCTATGACCCATTTATCATAAAGACTATTCTTTCTTTACTGAATTGCCTTTGCTCTTTTGTCAAAGATCGTTGACCATACTTGTGTGGGTCTATTTTTAGGCTCTATGTTGTGTTCCATCCATCTATGTATCTATTCTTTCATTAATGCTATGCTGTCTTGATTACACTAGCTTTATAGCATGTCTTGAAATGGTTAGTATGAGTCCTCCTACTTTGTTCTTTTTATTCAGTGTTGTGTTGGCTATTGGATTTTTGCCTTCCCATATAAACTTTAGGATTAGTTTATTGATATCTACAAAATCTGTCTTTCACTTTTAAGGACACTTGCGATTATTTGAGCCCACCAGGATTATCCTGGATGATCTCCCTATTCTAAGGTTAGTTCATCAGCAACCCTAGTTCCATCTGAAAAGTCCCGTTTGCCAATTAAAGTTATACTACTGTAAACATTATAATATTATATTTTTTTACTTGCTCAACACCTGTCTTCACTTCTTCAGTTACTTTGGGCTTTCCAACTTCCATTCCCCAGAAGTCACCTACCCATGGCAGCAGCTGTCATTATATCTATTAGCTTGTACTAATTTTTAATATCTTGTCAGAAAATTTAATGCATGATTCTTCCTTTACATGATTCTTCCAGTAAGCAAGAGTTTGCTGGTGACAAAGTGCCTTAGCCTAAAAGAGTAATTTTCTGACTTTGGGACATAGAACACTGGGACAGAGAGGTGGGAATATTTCCATATTCAAAGGAGCAATACTTTGCTTCTTAAATATTCCTTAAATGACTGCTCAGAGGTGGCCTTCTCCTAGGCCAGTTCCAGTTATCCTGTTTCTCTAATGAACACTTCTTCATCATGAATGTGCCTCCTCACTTTAAATAGCAAAGACACACTCGGCAGTTCTTGTTGCAACTTTGGGAAAAGTCGGCTCAATGTTTTAATAACTCCCACTGCAAGTAGATTGTGGTGTCTAATCCCTGATCTCCAAAGGTTTCTGCCTTTGAGTGGATTTTATACCAAGACCAGAGAAAATATATATTCATGCTCCAGGCTTCTGATTCATATTAAGGACTATGGTGATTTCAGTAAGCTTGTGATTCTCAAAGGATGTGGTGTTTTTGATTCCTGATGCATAGCTGGTAGGTTAAAAGCTGGAAATAAGGAATTTAAGAAGCAGTTGTAGTTTGTGCTCTTCAAGTAGCAATAAAATTTTTATTTTATAATTGAATAAAGCAAGAATAATAGAGGAATAGTAAAGAAAAATATGTGTAACTTGAAGGCATACAGATGGATGAATCCATTAAATAGATAGTAAAGATGCCCTTCTAGAAAAGAAAGGAGAAAAAAAATTGAGAACTGTTTATTCACTTACAATGAGTATATAGTATATTCATTATATATGTAAATTAGGTATAATAGTTTCATGTTCTCAATAATAATTACATTATTAAGTCAGGAAAATAGAAGAAATATTCAAATATGTGAGGCTGAGAGTTTTCAATATATTTAGTATATCAAGGTACTTGTATAATTTTCTTATGAAAAGAAATAATTTAACTTCAAAAAGATAAAATGATTTTGAAAGCGCATATCTTTTTCTACAACCCTGAATTGAAATTAGGTGAGAATATTTTTGCCACTATTATTATTACTACTATCAATGAAATAAAACAAGCTGATTATTTCTGAACGGTATTCTTAAATTTGGATTTTGAAACCTAGAGAATTCTTGAGTGTTGCCCAGGAAATAGCTTAGTGCTTTATATAGATAATCAAATTTAATCATCACAGGTAAAGAAGCCAAATCTTAGAGAGGCTACTGAGGTATGCTCAAGGTCACACAGCAGGTCAAGAACACCTTCACCCTCTTAACCAATTTGTTACAGTTCAGTTTTAAGATTTCTGGAATATTGCTCTTTGACAAATTTTAAAAATATTTATCAATACTGATGGAACAATTTGATATGTGCAAGTACATGAGGATGGAGCCAGATTTTTCTCCACGTGGGAAAACAGGAGGTCACTTAAACAAAAAATATCCTAGGAGACGTTTGCAGAACTTGCAATGTACTGTAGTCAAAAACTCAATTTTGAAAAGTGAGTCTGAATCCTCAAAGCATCGTTCTTTTTTTCTCCTTTCAGTTAGCTCTGGTGTCACTTTGACATATCACCATCAATGTGGACTTTTTGTTTGTTTGTTTGTTTTGAGCATCTTCTATTCTGGTACTACAAGATGCCCAAACTCATCTTGTATATTTCCTGGCCCATTCCTAGAATCTTTCTTTTTTTTTCTAGTCTAAAAAATTAGCTTTGTTTGAATAGCATGAGGAGAAATAAAGGAGGAATTTTCTCTCTCTTTTTAAAGAATATTTCTATAAGATCATGGAATAAAGTTGAGAATAACTCTTGTATGTTACAGGAATACCTTTGGTCATCAGTGGTTTTATGGAATTAAGAAATCAATTTATCATTTCTATATTAATAGCTAAAAATAGTACTTATCAATACTAACAAAACAATTTGAAAATGTGCAAGTGAAGTGAGAATGGAACTGGATTTCTCTGTAGCTAAGAAAACAGGAGTTCATTTAAGTGAAAAATTACTTATCACCCTCATAGGATACTAAATGGGACTTCTGAAATCATGACGTTACACTGTTAGTTAAATGCAATAGTCAGCAATAGTGGATTCAACATAATTGCATTCTTTTGGTTTAACAGAAATCTTTGAGTTTTCAACTCTCATTTAAATTTTTAGTTACATGACTTATTAAGTAGAGCACACTAACTTAGTGGAATCTTCCTCTATAAATATGAATTATCTAACTCCTTAGCATTCAGAACAGGAATGTTATTGTGTGGGTAAGTGATGAATATAATTCAACATGTACTGATGCTGGTCAAAACCAAGAAATTGTCCACTTGAAGTGATATGTGATAGCAATTGTTAAGTGGTTCCAAAAAGAAAAATCTTTACTGAGAAATAGTTATTAGTTGGATTTTAGGTTATCGATGTTCTAGTGGATTATTAACTGATATCATAACTGGTTCATATAAAATTGTAGAAGTATCACATTTTCTAGCTCTGTCATTTTGTTCTATTTTGTCATTATAGAGCAGAGTCTGTGGATCAATGGAAGGGTTCAACCACTCCAGAGTGTCTGAATTCATGTTACTTGGACTTATTGATTCTCCTGAGCTCCAGATTTTCTTCTTTGTGATGTTTTCCATTTTCTATTTAATGACCATGTTGGGCAACTGCCTGATTTTGTTCATGGTCTTGTCCACCCCACACCTTCACTCCCCCATGTACTTCCTGCTCAGCAATCTCTCTCTCATTGACATGTGCCTGTCCTCCTTTGCCACTCCAAAAATGATCATGGGCTTCTTTGCTCAGCACAAGACCATCTCCTTTGAAGGCTGCACTTCTCAGATCTTCTTTCTGCATCTCTTCACTGGCACTGAGATTGTGCTGCTGATCTCCATGTCTTTTGACAGGTACATTGCCATATGCAAACCTCTCCATTATTCAATAATTATGAGCCAAAGAGTGTGTGTAGGGCTTGTGATAACATCTTGGACAGTGGGCTTCCTGCACTCAATGAGCCAGTTAGCTTTTACCCTCTATTTGCCATTCTGTGGTCCAAATGTTGTAGACAGTTTCTTCTGTGACCTTCCTTTAGTCATCCAGCTGGCTTGTGTAGATATATATGTTCTTGGAATCTTCATGATCTCAACCAGTGGTGTGATTGCTCTTATAAGTTTTCTGCTTTTGCTCACTTCGTATATAATTGTTCTTGTCACTTTCAAGGATCTCTCCTCCCCAGGATCACCTAAGGCTTTTTCCACCTGCACTGCACATTTCATAGTTGTGTTAATGTTCTTTGGACCTTGCATCTTCATCTATGTGTGGCCTTTCACAAACTTCCTGGTGGACAAAGTTCTCTCTGTTTTCTACACCATCTTCACCCCCTTTCTGAATCCACTTATCTATACTTTGCGAAACCAGGAAGTGAAGACAGCTTTGAAGAAGAAACTAAGTAACCAATATTTAAATCTTGGGAAAACTACTCCAAGATATCCAATGCAATGAACAGAGATTTCTTGTCTGAGATTTAATATCATCAGTTTTGTTCTTAGAGCAATAGAAAATTAAACTTAGAATCTGTCTTTCCAGTAATTTAGTCTAAATTCAGGAACAAGGAAACCAGGGTTGAGTGATGTGAAACATCTTGCCAAAAAATTAGTGCAGTGTTTGCAAACCTTTGAGATTATGGATCCATTTGAAAATCTTTTGAAGTCTATAGGTTATTTTCATAGAAAAAGGCACATATCAAAATCATGAACATAAATTCAAGGTTTCATAGACCCCTGAATCCTATAAACACACCTCGGATTAAGACTGTTTAGAGAAGCCTGATATAAAATAGTGTTCTCTTGTCTTCTTACCCAGAACATTCTCACTCAGCTGTACAGCCCTGTGATATTCTGATGGTGTCCAATTGTAGAACTTTAATTAGAAGTGTTCGGCATGACAGGTTTTTTTTTTTTCATAGCATTAGAAATATTTTCAAATTGATATTGTGAAGATATTCTTTTGAATAATGATGAGCAATCTTGAATCAATGGGTCCAATTTTTTGAGTTCTGAGTCTACTTTGAACAAAATAGAACAGTTTAGAATTTAACAGTATGGTTTCTTAATAGGTGTACAGATCACTATAACACCTGATAATTGATACAGAAAATAATTAATCAAATGGCAGTTTTTAAAGTTTAAACCATAGAAAGTAAACTACTCAAATCTGATTGGCTTTCAAAACCTGGCTGAATACCAGAGATATGAAGAATCCATTTAATACCAAGACTAAACATTTGGAAAATTATTAACCATTAAATTCATGACAAGTTTTTCACTTCCAAAATAAAATGCGCCAAAATATTATTAGTCTTAGTATGAGTTTTGTGTCTTATTTCCGACATAATGTAGCTGTGGAAAGAAAAGATGAAAATAATTTAAGAAATATATAGCACAATTCTCTTTAAGTTGGTTTATTATTATTTTTTTTAATTACAAAACAGTCTTTAGAATTCAGCTGGCCAATCCATTTCCCTAACAGCTGAAGAACCTAAGGTTCAGGGAATTCATAGAGCTACTTCAAGGCTGAATCACTGTAAGGGCAAAGATCATTGCTCTAAATAGACATGGATCTCAGAATTAAATCTTGGATCTGTCATTTCCTAGTTGTGTTGTCCTGGGAGATTCACTTTACCTCTTCATCCCTTGTTAATCTCTAATCTGAGGATAATACAGGCAGATTAATTGTTATGACTGTTTTATGGAAAGTGGACAGAATGGATTCTAAACATGTCATTTTCTTTTCCCTTCCCACTCGCCCAGACCTCTACCCAAAATGTATCTTATTTTTAAGTAACATGCCTTTGAAAAATAACTACTCATGTCAAACCATGAGCACACAAAATTTGATATTCTAGTTTTAGGATGTCTCTAAGATTGGTTTATTAAGACAGATGGCAGAAAAACAAATAGAGTACTCTCCAGTTTTCCACTGCTAACATTGTGTGTGTGTGTGAGGGGAAACTAGATTAGATTGCCTGACACTGAGATTTCTATGAATAACAATATACTGATAGACTGTATCTCCTTGAATTGACTGAAGTATATGAAAAGGGTTCAGGAAACAATCTGTCATCATGGATTCAGACAGTTTGTGAGTATCAAGAGAAAAACACAAGCCCCTGCCTTGCAGAGAGAGAAATGGCATTAATAACTTCTTACATTTATCTTGGGTTTTTAAGGTCTTAACATGCTTCAATGCAAATAACTTCCAAGCCAAATATTTAATATCTGAAGTTAAATAATGTGCAGATGTTTATGAAGAAATGTAATGTTGGAGCTAGGTATAAAGCACATGTTTAATTTGAAATAGCAGTTCATTTTTAACCAAATCATAAACTCTTCCTTCATGCTTCAAAGTCAAACAAATGAAAAAAAGTGAAGGTGAAATGTACTTTTGCCTCATTCCCATTCTTCAGCAAAAATCATCATCTTTGTTTTTAAATATCAACCTCACTTCTACAATTTCTATCTTTAGTTCAATAATTCTTTAATGAGCATCCACTCTGTTTAAGATTCTTGCTGGGTGCTGGAGATCCAATAAAGTAGAAGGTCTGATTCTCTGTCTTTGAGGGACATGTATCTAACAATTAGAGAGAGTCAGTCTGTAGTAGGTTGAATTCCAGTCCCATCACTTTGTTGTTGTACAACCTTGAGCAAGTATTTTTAATGTTTCTGAGACTCAGTTTCTTCACATATAAAATATGAACATAGTATTTAACTTCTAGGGATGTTGTGAAAACCAAACCAAAACACATGTAACATAACTAGCAGTGCTCGGCAATCATTAAGGGTTTAACAAATACTAACTAATAATATTATTGTTATTGTTGCTGTTGTGTTAAATATGTATAAAATCACAGGGTTATTAGAATGGAAATAAATGTACTTACTTGAACTTAAATAGCATGGTTTAATATGTAATAGCATGTGTCAATTTATCTAATATTAACTAATGTTAAAATATTGGATTTGGGGCCGGCCCCATGGCTTAGCGGTTAAGTGCGCGCGCTCCACTGCTGGTGGCCGGGGTTCGGATCCCGGGTGCGCACCGATGCACCGCTTCACCGGCCATGCTGAGGTCGTGTCTCACATACAGCAACTAGAAGGATGTGCAACTATGACATACAACTATCTACTGGGGCTTTGAGGAAGAAAAAAACGAGGAGGATTGGCAGTAGATGTTAGTTCAGAGCCGGTCTTCCTCAGCAAAAAGAGGAGGATTGGCATGAATGTTAGCTCAGAGCTGATCTTCCTCACACACACACAAAAATATATATATATTGGATTTGTGCCACTTAATCTTTGGTGCATTTCTGTAGCTAATGTTGTCCTTTGTATATCTGTGTTTTTCAAAAGTATTATATTTTGGGTGTTTCTTATTTGTTTTAAGTAGAAATATATTCCAAGATTGTATGAAAGGGGAAAAATAATAAATATACAATGTTCAATAGGTCAGTGTCTTGTTTTATCACAAAAACATTTTTTAATAAAATGTACGTGATTAAAAAGTGATAAAATATTATTCACATATTTTGTTTCTCTTTATCTTTTACCCATTCAAAAGATAGTAGTGAAATGCTTTACATTCTTATATACCTGGATTTGTTAAAAATATTAACTGGGAAATTAACGGTGGCAATTATCTATTCACTTTATAAGTAACACCTTATTAAATGTCTCAACTATAGGCAGAAATTCTTTGTCCAGACGTGTGAAGAATAAGGGAATTGTTTATTTGGAAACATGGTATAAAGTATTGTTCAGGAAATTGTTAAAATTGAAACCATAAAATTGTAGCGTCAACAGACATTTCATCTGGCTAAGATATTCCTGAAGTTGTAGAATAAATATCTAATCTCACCCTGGGCATTTCTGGTGGTGGAGCCCATTCCTGGGGAATCAGTTAAACACCAAATTGTGTCCTCATAGAGCATTTAATAACCATATTTCAGTTTAATTGGTTTTCTTTGTCCCCTATGTCCTTTATTTTGTGTTTGAGATATTACTCTAATAAGGAAGCTTTAGACTTCACTATACCTCCAAAGGGGTCTGTGGTACATTTATGCATCTGTGCGCATGTGCACACCACAAACACACACACACACACACACACACACACACACGACTAAGAACTCCTTGAGTGTGGATTGTGAGTATCACCATTGAAGCCAGACTGCCTGATCTGCATTCAGCTCTACACCACTTACGAGGCTTGTGGTGTTGGGCAAGTTAATTAACTCTTCTATCCTAGTTTTCTCATCATTTTTTGAGCAGAGTTTACAAGTCTACAGGCGGCAAGCTGCAATTGCCTGCGTTTCCAACATGTTTTGTCTTCACTCAAAGGTTTACAAAGAAATCAAACTAATTAATACAATTAGATAGTGAGAGATTCCACAAGAAAATACAGCTTGATGGATTTTCTTAAAAAATGAAACAAACACAAACCTGCCAACATTGGGCTAGAATTCTAAGGTGAAGCTGAGATTTTAGGTGGAGCCAGTACCAGAGTGCTCATTCTGTTTTCTCTTGCACCAGGCCACTCGATACATGTGTATTACCCCAGCTGTTTGTGATCATTATTAAAGAACTTAAAATACATAATATGCCTTTTTCATCACCATACTATAACTTTTCTTCCAGCTCTAACCTCACGTTGACATAATCCACTCATGCCCTCAACTTTTAGTGACTCAGTCTCAACAAACAGCATTTATTGAATCACCAGGGAACACTGATATTCCCGCAAATTATTCTTATATGAGGATTTAAGCCAAATTGGAGTATAAAAAAGTTTGTTATACTTCTATCTTCTTTTTTTCTAATGCCTCTCTCCTCCTATCTCCTGATTTTCTTTCTCTTGACTGCACTACAGTAGAAATCTCCTTTTAGTCATTCACATATCATTATACATTGAAGAGCTACGTTAGCTCTTCAAGTGTACCTTTAATTGTAGGAAGGTGAGCTTGGCCTCTTGTCAAAGTAGTTCAACATTAGTCAGTAGAGAGGACATGACATTATCATAAGAAGGATTTTTTTGCCTTTGTCAAACAGATGATACCTTAATCTCCTCTCTCAGTAAAGATAATCCAAGAAACGTTTTTTGGCCCCTTTTACATATCAGAAACTGTGTTCTGTCCTTTGGAAACAGAAATAATAAGACACCATCCCTATCCTTAAAGAGATTATATTTAATAAGAAGACAGGTAGTTGCAATACAATGTCATAATTGCCATGATGTAAGTTTGCATTACAGTAATATGGGGACTCAGGAAAAGACAAGTCCAAATGTGTTTGCAAAGTCAGAGAAAGCTTCTCGGAGGTAGTGCAGAATCTTAGACTTGAAGGCCAAGTTGGGGGAAAATATGCCAGAAGGGAGGAACAGCATAGGCAAAGGCAGAGAAGCATAAAAATGCCTATGTAATTCATGAGCTGCATGTGACTTGCTATTTCTAG